GTTTCACCCATAACAACGTAATGTATTGTAACTATTATTAAACAAAAGGGGTTAATACTGTAGTTGGCGGGGAATATCGAAGCCGAGGGGTGTTTGTGTTGCGTTGGGTCTGATTATTGGTTTATGTGTGTCTCCTTTTGTCTGTTTCTTACATTGTATCAGTGATTTATTCATTTATTTCAATTTCTTTGTTCTTCGTTTTTTTCTGTCTGTGTAAATTTATTCGTTTGTATTTCTGTTTCAATTATCCGTCTCTTCCTTTCTGTCTAACCGTATTTTTCTCTGTAGAAGTGTTTTTATTGTTTTCTTTTCGTTATAAATTTTTATGATGTTTTTGATGCAGATGTAATTTTTTTTTCTTGTCAGTGAATTTATTAGTTTTTTTCCTTCCGGTGTTTTTAATTGACGTGAGCTGTTTTTATTTATTTATTTTATTTTTATTTTATTTTATTTTTTTTTAATCTGAAGCGACGTTATTTTTAATGGGAATTTTTACACTTTTATTTTTTGTATTAATAATCTGCTTTTTTTTTGCATTTTTAGTGTCAGTTTTCCTCTCGTTTTTTTTTCTTTCCATTAATTTATTATTGGTTGTTTTTATGTCTCCTTATTGTGTATTTTTTTATTTTTTTATTTTTTTCATCTTCACTTCTCACCAAATTCTCTTTCTTATGAGGCCAACGTCAGGGTGAGCACGGACGGCATCTTTCATCTCTTGAAGGCTTTTGTATTTTCTTCGTTGAATTCTTGAACCTTTTTTTCCGCATTTCGTTTTGTTGTTTTATTTAGAGTTTATCATGACCTTCTTCGGGTTGGTGAGAGAAAATGAATAAATAAGATCATTTAGAGTCAGACTATTGGAAGAACTGTTTGTGTATAATTTTAATATGATAAGAATTTTCCATACATGTTAACTCATTCCTTAAGTATCTTTAGGATTTTGTGGTCTGGGCGAAATACCCCGTGTTCTGGGTGGCTTAAAATACCCCGTGTTCTGGGCGTCTTAAAATACTCCGTGTTCTGGGTGGCTTAAAATACCCCGTGTTCTGGGTGGCTTAAAATACCCCGTGTTCTGGGCATCTTAAAATACCCCGTGTTCTGGGAAGTGTTCAGGGGCGGCGTCTGGGATGTTATTCACGGTTCAATAGAGTTATAATGAAAGGAACTTGGAGGTCAGCTGGGCAAAAAATGTGTTATTGTACCGTATCAAGGTCACCATTATCACCATGATATTCACTCTGTCCAGGGCTGCCGTGGGTGATGGTGTGGTTGATGGTGGAGGGTGGTGTGGGTGATGGTGGAGGTGGGGTGATGGTGGAGGGTGGTGTGGGTGATGGTGGAGGGTGGTGGGTGTGGTGGAGGGTGGTGGGTGTTGGTGGAGGTGGTGGGTGATGGTGTAGGGTGGTGTGGGTGATGGTGGAGGTGGTGTGGGTGATGGTGGATGGTGGGTGATGGTGGAGGGTGGGTGGGTGATGGTGTGGATAGTGTGGCAGGATGATAATGAGTAGTGGCGGTGTATTAGTGGGGATGAGGCTGATGATGACCACCTCCTCACCTCTTCCCCTCCCCTCACACCCCTCTTCACCCTGTTAGTCACCCCTCCCTCCCAGGTAAAGGTAATAAATGACAGTAGAATATCATCTTAGCCAATTGATGACTTCCTCTGTTATACAGCATTACAGCCTCAACCCCCTCAACCACCCCCTGCCCTTACACCTCCTCTCACCCCACCCTCCACCCCCTGCCCCACGCTATTCCACCCCACCTCCCCACTCTCTCCACCCCCCTGCCTCTACTATTCCACCACCTCTCACTCCCCCTCCACACCCCCCTGCCCCACGCTATTCCACCACCTCTCACTCCTCCACCCCTGCCCCACGCTATTCCACCTCATCCTCTCACCCTCCACCCTGCCCCACGCCATTCCACCTCACCTTCACTCCCTCCACCCTGCCCCACGCTATTCCACCTCACCTCCACTCCCTCCACCCTGCCCCACGCTGATCCACCCTCACCTCTCACTCCCTCTCTCCACCCCCTGGCCCCACTACTATTCCACCCTCACCTCTCTCACCCCCTCCACCCCCTGCCCCACGCTATTCCAATTTCACCTCTCACTCCCCCCTCCACCCCCCTGCCCCACGCTATTCCACCTCACCTCCCTCACTCCCTCTCCCACCCCCTGTCCCATTATTCCACCCTCACCTCTCACTTCTCCACCCCTGCCCCACGCCATTCCACCACCTCTCACCCTCCACCCCTGCCCCACGCTATTCCACCCTCACCTCTCACTCCCTCCACTCTGCCTTGCCGCTATTCCAATCTCACTCACTTCACCCTCCACTCCTGCTCCCACGCCGCCATTCTACCTCACCACTCCCTCCATTCTCGGGTCCTCATCTTCCCCCACCACCCACCACCACCGTCACTACCAAGACACACCTCACACTTCATAACATAAACCTGAGAAGTCGTAGTGCCAATAACTCTAACAAGAGGCAGTTTGTTTACATTATGAGTGAAACGATGTATTGGAGTATTATTTATTTCAGAGAAGGAACAAGGTCGACTAGCAATAAAAACCTGTTATTGGAAATGGTTGATAAAGATAGAGAACAGTGAGAAGTGATGTAGAAAAATGAGGCGGTGGACAGAACTATGAGTATAAAGAAGCAGTGAGGAATACTCTGTAGTAGTGTATCGAGTTTTGACATTTGTGGTCCTGAGTTCCTGATTTTTTTTTTTACCCGCAGCATAAGTCTTGATAATAGACGAGTGAGGTTAAAAAGAGGAGGTTAGATTATCAGTGAGGTTAAAAAGAGGAGGTTAGATTATCAGTGAGGTTAAAAAGAGGAGGTTAGATTATCAGTGAGGTTAAAAAGAGGAGGTTAGATTATCAGTGAGGTTAAAAAGAGGAGGTTAGATTATCAGTGAGGTTAAAAAGAGGAGGTTAGATTATCAGTGAGGTTAAAAAGGGGAGGTTAGATTATCAGTGAGGTTATAAAGAGGAGGTTAGATTATCAGTGAAGTTAAGAGGAGGTTAGATTATCAGTGAGGTTAAAAAGAGGAGGTTAGATTATCAGTGAGGTTAAAAAGAGGAGGTTAGATTATCAGTGAGGTTAAAAAGAGGAGGTTAGATTATCAGTGAGGTTAAAAAGAGGAGGTTAGATTATCAGTGAGGTTAAAAAGGGGAGGTTAGATTATCAGTGAGGTTATAAAGAGGAGGTTAGATTATCAGTGAAGTTAAGACGAGGAGGTTAGATTATCAGTGAGGTAAAAAGAGTAGAGGTGTTAGGATTATCAGTGAGTTAAAAAAGAGGAGGTTAGATTATCAGTGAGGTTAAAAGAGGAGGTTAGATTATCAGTGAAGTTAAGACGAGGAGGTTAGGATTATCAGTGAGGTAAAAAGAGGAGGTTAGATTATCAGTGAAGCTAAGACGAGGAGGTTAGGATTATCAGTGAGGTAAAAAGAGGAGGTTAGATTATCAGTGAAGTAAAAGCTGGAATTGCTTCTTGCGTGACAAAGGGCCTAGTCCAATGACCTTCCAACCCAGCCTCCTGGAAGTCCAGCCTCCAGCCAGGGAGAGAGTTGATGATGTGGCCTTTGACCCCACAGCGGCTCCAGGGAAGAGAGGGGAGGGGAGGGGGGTGTGGAGGAGGAGACGGCATGAGGGATAATGGAAGTAGGAGATGGAGGGAGGGAGAAGGAGAACGCCAGATAGCTACTGACTGTACCTCCTGTATAGCTAGGTTCCTTGTTTGTGTTTCTCTGGTAGTTTTCATGATCTAATCTTTATTTTGTGTTGGCTACCCTGTGTGTGTGTGTGTGTGTGTGTGTGTGTGTGTGTGTGTGTGTGTGTGTGTGTGTGTGTGTGTGTGTGTGTGTGTGTGTGTGTGTGTGTAGCCCTAGGGTTCCTAAGCTTCTTCCTTCTGCTCTTGTATATATAATTTACTGACCACGACGACGGTTGGTCAGTAAGAGGAGGAGGTGAGGATAGACGTCAAGCTTAAATACCACCTGTTGTACTTCACTGTCAAGCTTAAATACCACCTGTTGTACTTCACTGTCAAGCTTAAATACCCCTGTTGTACTTCACTGTCAAGCTTAAATATCTCACCTGTTGAACTTCACTGTTAAGCTTAAATACCACCTGTTGTACTTCAGTCAAGCTTAAATATCTTACCTGTTGAACTTCACCGTCAAGCTTAAATACCACCTGTTGTACTTCACTGTCAAGCTTAAATACCACCTGTTGTACTTTACTGTCAAGCTTAAATATCACCTGTTGTACTTCACTGTCAAGCTTAAATATTACCTGTTGTACTTCACTGTCAAGCTTAAATACCACCTGTTGTACTTCACTGTCAAGCTTAAATATCACCTGTTGTACTTCACTGTCAAGCTTAAATACCACCTGTTGTACTTCACTGTCAAGCTTAAATACCACCTGTTGTACTTCACTGTCAAGCTTAAATATCACCTGTTGTACTTCACTGTCAAGCTTAAATATCACCTGTTGTACTTCACTGTCAAGCTTAAATATCACCTGTTGTATTTCACTGTCAAGCTTAAATATCACCTGTTGTACTTCACTGTCAAGCTTAAATATCACCTGGCTTTATAACCCACAAGCTTAGTGGACTCAACCAACACTATGTAAACCAGGATAATCATTACCTCACACCACACCACACCACCATCCCCACCACCACCACCATCCCCACCTCCACCACCATCTCCACCACCACCACCACCACCACCACCACCACCACCACCACCACCACCTCACCACCACCACCACCACCACCACCACCGCTACCACTACCATCACCACTCACGATCACCACTACCATCACCACCACCACCACCACCATCACCACCACCACCATCCCCACCACCACTACCACTACCACCACCACACAACCACTACCATCACCACCACCACCACCAGTACCACCATCACCAATTCGTGTTCCAACGTAGCTTATGTGACAGGTAGATGGTCTTACGTCACCAGTGCTCGAGGCGTGGGGGCGGTCCTCGTACAGTCACTCCCACGCCTCCAGCCCCCACGCCTCCAGCCCCCATACCTCCAGCCCCCACGCCTCCAGCCCTACACCTCCAGATCCCACACCTCCAGCCCCCACGCCTCCAGCCCCACGCCTCCAGCCCCCACGCCTCCAGCCCCACGCCTCCAGCCCCCACACCTCCAGCCCCCACGCCTGGCCCTCCCACACCTCCAGCCCCCACGCCTCCAGCCCCCATACCTCCAGCGCCCCCACGCCTCCAGCCCCCACGCCTCCAGTCCCATACCTCCAGCCCCCACGCCTCCAGCCCTACGCCAGCCTCCAGCCCCCACGCCTCCAGCTCCCACGCTTCCAGCCCCCACGCCTCCAGCCCCCACGCCTTCAGCCCAGAGACCCACAGGTGTAGAAGACTGCCTGATGGGACTACTATCTACCTGTGGAACCTTTATAAATTGTACCTTATTCTCTCCTTAGATACAAACAAGTAACTCGAGTCCATTAAGAAACTGTTTATATACGAGTTGTGGACAGGGATTGTGACACATGATTCGATTGACCATACATACATACATACATACATACATACATACATACATACATACATACATACATACATACATACTGTACACACATACTGTACACACATACATGACATATACCAGTACTGTATTATATTCTCTTTCTCTCTCTCTCTCTCTCTCTCTCTCTCTCTCTCTCTCTCTCAAGTATAAGTGAGTGGTGCCAAAACACCAGTGATGATTTCCCAAAAGGGTTTCAACAGCACGTCCAGGGAAAGCCTTGAGGAGAGTACTTACGTGAGAGGAGGCCTGGGGACGACCTTCCCTGTAGGAGAGAGAGAGAGAGAGAGAGAGAGAGAGAGAGAGAGAGAGAGAGAGAGAGAGAGAGAGAGAGAGAGTTCTACAATCTAATAATGGATCATCATATAATTTTCAGTATGCCAGAGTTAAAAATAGACAGACAGACAGACAGACAGACAGACAGACAGGTAACTATAGACAGAAGACACTAGCGAGAGGCAAGGAAAGTCAACACACACACACACACACACACACACACACACACACACACACACACACACACACACACACACACACACACACAGACACACACACACACACACACACACACACACACACACACACACACACACACACACACACACACACACACAGCAAAGAGAGAAATAGAGAAAAACAAGAAGAAATTAAGTAAGTGAGAGAAAGAGAGATAGAAAGGAAAAAAGAAAGTGGAAAGAGAGTGAGTGAGAGAAAAGAGTTAATAAATGAAGGAAGAAGGTCATAGGTATAGAAGAGAAGAAAGATAAAGATAGGAGGGAAGGAAACGAGAGAGAAAAAAATAGAGAGAGGAAGAATGAGATAGAAATATAACGAGAGAGAGAGGGACAAAGAGAGCTGAATTAAGAGGATAATGGAGATTAGAGAGAGAGAGAGAGAGAGAGAGAGGAGGTAGCGAGCCACTCATAACCACAAGAGTCATCAGCTCCAACACACACACCACACACAGACAGTTCTTTCAGACAGGGTAATGAACAGGTGACCGTGTGAACCGTTGCACCTGTACTGTACACCTCAACCAGAGTCTCTCGGGGGTACGTGGCACTCTACAGGTGTGTGGGGAGAGAGGAGGAAGTGGTGGTCGTACCGTGGATGGGAATGATGATGTTTGGAATGCAAATTTAAGGTGGAGGTTTTATGTGATGTTGTATTTATTATTGTCAGTGATGTTATCGAAATTTTAGTCTTTGTGGATTACCTGAAGATGAGCCATTGAGTCCCCCGCTTAATTGCTCACCTGATGTCTCACACCTCTAGCTTATGCAGCATCAGGTTTAGTCACCCCGAAAATATCTGGGGAGGGGGGGTAATCTTCAGGTGGTCCATAGAGGCTAAAATTGTGAATGGTTTCGTGTTTGGTCTCGACTGCATCACTGTTGTTAATAGTGTTACATTAAGTTAAATTAGGGGGGGGAACTTGAGTTTGGTTATGTCATTACCCTCATACAAAGTTCTTTACCTTGAAGGAATGTATGAAACGATTTCTGGATCTGTGTATGAAGCGACGTACAGTACATCCAGGAAGTTCTCAGGAATTTTCTTCAACAAAAAGGTAATCACTTTTGTATGTGAGGAGGAGAAGGAGGTTCAGGAGTCCTACAAACAGAGAAAGTCAATAGATGGGTGATCCTTTGACCCCTGGTGTAGCCTCAACATCCAGCCACTGGGGAGTGAATTCCTTCGTGACCCTCCACAGGTCGTGAGGCCTCAGGGCAAGTGAAGAAATAATTCAGGATTTTCACAGACAAGGGAATGGTGTAGAACTTATACAGACCAGGAAAGACTTCAGGTCCTTAGCAGACAAACTCACTCCTCGTCGACGAAAATCATAAATTCAAATTTACTTCTACAGAAAGGGAAAACCAGGAGATTCTTACAAGTGGTGGAAGAGCATTTGTATCTTGCAAGTTTGGGTGGAAACCAATACCTGGCTACCAGCTAAAGGAAGGCTGAGACTCCTGACCTTGACGAGTTCATGACCTCTATAAGCGAGAAAGTAACTGAGGGACTAAGTAAGGGAAGACCTCTAGGCCGCAACACCATGAACAGAGCCGAATGCCTCTTCTGTTCAAGAGTGTAAATAAAGAATAAACCAAATGAGGAAGATTATAAACAAAGAGAAAGAGAAAGAGAGAGACCCACAACAGCTAGAATAAAAACGAACGCCTCTACACATACCAACACCCGCCGCAGGACTTCCGTGAGAGGGCAAGAACACCGCCTTGCAGTAGCCCTCCCTCAGGTTGTGCAAACACTGCCTGTTCCTTTGTCTTCCTCCGCTTCCCCGACACACGTTCTCACGCCGGCCATCATCATTATCATCATCTTAGCTGGGGTGTGTGTGTGTGTGGGTGTATGCTTTCTCTCTGTCTCTCTCATTGATGCATCTCCAATATTCGCTTTTTCATGACTTTGTGTATGTTTGGTGTGTATGTATGTATCTATGTATGTATGCACGTATGTATGTATGTATGTATGTATGTATGTATGAATGTATGTATGCGCCCTGGCTTGCTCCTCCGTCTGTTTATTCATCTTTTGTCTGTCACGGAATTTTATTTAAACTTTCAACACAAGAATATTTATAACTTTCTACCAAACTTTCTCTTAATGGACAAACTTTCTTTATAATTTCCACAACAACTCCTGCGTCACTGCTGAACAAGAGACAAAAGAATTAACACAGGGAGTCTTTAATCCACCCAGGGTGACTAACAGGGATACTTTACGTGATGTTTAATTGTGTCTAACCTAACCTAACCTAACCTAACCTAACCTAACCTAACCTAACCTAACCTAACCTAACCTAACCTAACTTAGAAACATAACCTAACTTAGAAACATACTTCATTGTGGTGGAGTTTAGCTGAGGATTGATGTTTAAACCAGTTGAGGATTGATGTTTAAACCAGTTGAGGATTGATGTTTAAACCAGCTGAGGATTGATGTTTAAACCAGTTGAGGATTAATGTTTAAACCAGTTGAGGATTAATGTTTAAACCAGTTGAGGATTGATGTTTAAACCAGTTGAGGATTGATGTTTAAACCAGTTGAGGATTGATGTTTAAACCAGTTGAGGATTGATGTTTAAACCAGTTGAGGATTGATGTTTAAACCAGTTGAGGATTGATGTTTAAACCAGTTGAGGATTGATGTTTAAACCAGTTGAGGATTGATGTTTAAGCCAGCTGAGGATTGATGTTTATACCAGTTGAGGATTGATGTTTAAATCAACTGTGGACCGACATTTAAACAAGGGGTCACATAGAGTTTCACAACACAGTCATATCTTGTAGAGAGAGGCAGCCGAGCCCAGCCCAGCCCAGCCCAGCCCAGCCCAGCCCAGCCCAGCCCAGCCAGCCCAGCCCAGCCCAGCCCAGCCTGTATTATCAGTCCAATGTATGTCATCTAAAACTCGCATAACGGAGCGTGTTTTACTTCATAACCAGATTACATCACCCGCCTTGACTTATACCTCCAAGATGGTGATTTTCGTTGTATATCATCTTAGGAAGAAAATTGAATTTGCTTAAGACTCCATATTTTTATGTCGTAACTTAAGTAGGTCAGTAGATGCCGTCCCTATAATAATTACAAGAGGAAATTATCGTACGAGGCTTTGAGAATCCGGATTTAATTTAATGAGAAGGATCTGGTCGCACCGATGAACTTAACATATCACTTTCCCGGAATTTTAGTTGATGATCAAATTTGACGATAATCTCATTCCTCCGGTCTTACCAGCTGACGTGAGGTACTACATTACGAGCCGTCGTCTGGGCCCTTGTGGTAAGTCTCTAGCACGAGTTTTGCATAAGTCATAACACAAGACTTACTCAATACCCCGAGAAGAGTGAGATTGCTAGTTGCACGTCGCCCCCTCTCCCTGGGTCTCTGTGTTCACCCTCTTGTTTACGGTCTTTTGTCTCGCCGGGTAGGGGATAGAGGAGGAGGGTGGAGAGGGGTGGAAGGGAGGGGGTCGATTCTGGGTTACCGTAGACAATAACAGTAGTGATGAACCTTTGACTTAACTCACCTGTCTGGAAACTGGTGGTGAAGGGAGATACACACTCACACACACACACACACACACACACACACACGCAGTCATGCAGTGAGAGAGGGCGGAGAGTGTTTGTGAATGTGTGTGATAAAGGGTGATAAAAGAAGGGAGTGAGAAAATGGAAAGCGATAATGAAAAGGAGATCAAGAAACTAACATGAGATAAGGGAACAGTGAGAGATAAAGGGAGAGAAAGAGAGAGAAGGATAAGAAAAAGAGTGAGTGTGAGGGGAGGGGGTCGTCTGCTCCTACGTGTAGTTCTTGCAGGAAGTTGTACAATAACATGAGGTAAGAATCTCTGGTACCTGGTGTGTGTATACAAGCACGTCCGGCCAGGGAGGGTGTTGTGGGGGTGGTGGCTAGTGAAGATGATGGTATTAATGGTGGTAGTAATGGTGGCGGCAGTAATAGTGGTGGTATTAATGGTGGTGGTAGTAATGGTGGCGGCAGTAATAGTGGTGGTATTAATGGTGGTGGTAGTAATGGTGGCGGCAGTAATAGTGGTGGTATTAATGGTGGTGGTAGTAATGGTGGTGGTAGTAATGGTGGCGGCAGTAATAGTGGTGGTATTAATGGTGTTGGTAGTAATGGTGGTGGTAGTGGGTGATGAAGATTAATCCCACAATTCAGAATATATATAAGTATTTTCTGCTCAGCCCTTTGTAGACAGTTTACAGATGTTACAAGAGTCTGCTCAGACAACCTTATCTTACTCTACTCATTTTGTCTGTTCATTTTCGTAATTTCTTGTATTGCTTTGTACGTGGCTACATCACCTGTCCTTCATCTAGTACTCGTCCTTGAACCTTGTCTCACTGGTCCTTGAATAG